ACGTTTCATAGCTATTTTCTAACTGAGCTAATTAGGCAAAAAGCGTCTCACGATTTTCCATTTATTCAAATAATGGTATTGACAAGATATTTACCTACAGGTATCCGTAACTGCTTTAATCCTGTTTTCGCTTATTTTAAAAAGTCACGTGATTCTATTATTTGTTTGCATGAAAAACTAAGAATACTTATTTTAAACTTTTTTTAATTTTTGTCCAAACAAATCTTAAAACATGATAAAGACATACAGAGGCAGAAAACAGATTTAATATGAAAATAGTGTTAAATAAAACATATAGTTCTTACCTTTATAGTTCTGCCATGCAATCGTTTCAATGAATAAATCGGATGTGGCGCTACGAAACCATTTAACAAATAGCGGCAATGTCGTTAATGATATGATACAGTGTTGAATATAAAAACAGTTTATATAAAGATTTAATCAATTCGAAATATAATATCCGAAGCACTTTTCTCTGTTAATATAGCGCTAGTCAGAAATGAAGTGGCAATGTCCTAAATTTATTAGTGACAATTTAAAGCGAAAAAAATAATTAATTTTGTCCCGCAAGTGTGATGTTAAGGCAAGAAACTTGTCAACAAAATCCTGCCCTTTAAGAAATACAATAAGTAAAGTCTCAATTAAGTCCACCATCGAGACTTGACCAAAGTGGTCTTTCTCAATTGTGGATATCATCATTGCTTCCTTTGTCTATATTTGTCACTTTCTACTAATCTTAACCTATACATACAATATAAAAGAATGATATAAGATTTAAAATGATGAGAGCAAAACAAATTTTTGAAGAAATTTTATATTTAATTCTCTTTGGTCTGATTTCAGTATTTATTATATGATATACATGATTCACCTATCATATGAGAAATTAATTATTCCCAAATAAACAACAGATACCGTTAAATTTACTATTTCACCTTATTTCATACAATACTCTTGGAAACTTTGAAACAACTAAACAGTGTGTCATGAATCTAAAATTAATAACTGTAAAGCGGTCTGATTGTGTGACTGGTTCGCGATACCTTGTTACATGTACACTCCAAGACGGTGCGAGACATCAAGAAAGAAAAACTGGCACCCTACAGATCTATGGAGTTAGCTACTTGGTCTTGTTCACCCGAAATATTGAATGGTTCCATAACGTGACATAGTAGTTACTGTGATTTTTTTTTTCTTTTTTTTTTGATTTTTTTTTTTTTTTTGATTTTTTTTTATTTTATTTTTTTATTTTTTTGCATTGATACGAAACGAGATCAGTTACAGACTCATGTTTGGCGGCAAATTGGTTGTCATCCACAGACATTCGGGGAGAGTTAGCTTTACTACGCCCTTGTCAACATACAGTAATTTGATCACTTAACACAAGTGCAGCATCTTTCGAAATCAATCATAAACATGGTTTGATTTCAACATGCTTCCATTGAAGTTTTTTAGGATTTTTTTTAATTCAAGTGAAAATTAAATTTTATCACATTTGTTACTGGCCAAGAGGCGGGGCAAGGTGGGTTCAGTGTCTGACCCCTCTACCGCCCGTGTGGTCTCTAGGTACTATGGTAACATAGAATACACATTAAGTGTACGATGGTGGCATAAAGCTAGTTGCGATTGATCTAGTTGTCAGAGACTCTCACTGTGTGTTTTTAATATATTGAATTGTTAACTACATTGTTAGCTACATTCCTTGTTTAACAGCGCAAACACATTGGATGTAAACTTACTTTAATTTAAAAGAGCATTTTTCCTTTACTTTACTCGAGCGTCATCAACTTCAAGATAGAAAACTGCTGGCGTCGTCGTCATATTGATTGAAGTAGTAGAAGTATCTGATGTAGTACTGGCAGAAGTGGTAATAGTAGTGGCATTATGTTGATGGTGTTGATGGTGGTGGTGGTAGTGTAGGTGGTTGTAATAGTTGTGATGATAACGATGATTATGATGATGATGACAGTTGTTGTGGTGGCGGTTATGGTTGAAATGGTGACGCTAATGGTGGAAGTGGTTGTGATGGTGGTGGTGATTGTAATTGTGGTCGAGATGATGATGATGATGATGAAGGTGATGATGATGATGATGGTTTTGGCGGTTATGGTTGAAATGGTGCTGCTAATGGTGGTAGTGGTTGTGATGATGGTGGTGATTGTAATTGTGGTCGAGATGATGATGATGGTTTTGGCGGTTATGGTTGTGATGATAATGGTGATTGTAATTGTGGTCGAGATGATGATGGTGATGATGATGATGATGATGAAGGTGATGATGATGATGATGATGATGGTTTTGGCGGTTATGGTTGTGATGATGGTGGTGGTGATTATGTTGGTAGTGGTTGTGGTAGAGGTAATGATGATGATGAAGATCGATATTTCAGTTTATTTGTACAAATGTATATTAGTACAAAAATATATAGAAATGATTACTAATTATTAGTAAATAGATTAAAGTTCATGTTAATCCATGTCCCGATACACTCGAGGTCTTTCTTCACCTGTAAAGCATGAAAGTCATATAACAACAACAATAATAATAATAATAATAATAATATTATTATTATCATTATTATTATTATTATTATTATTATTATTATTATTATTATTATTATAATTTACAATAATAATGATGATGATGATATCACGACCTTGAATTTGTTTTGTATTTTTTCAAAGTGATTACAGTTTATTGACACTGACGCATTTATTTCTGAATTTAAATGTAGATTAATAGATACTTTTAAGCAAGAATAGTATGGAAATATTAACACAAACTCTGTCTTGAATATGTATAGAATATTTATAAGTACACTTGAATATGAAATATACTTAGATTTTTTACCAAAGAAATTACGTACTTATTTGGTTAAACTTAGAATTTCTTTGCATCCCTTGAGAATACAAACAGGGAGGTACACTCGTATTAATTTACCAAGAAACGAAAGATATTGCTTATGTTGTAACACAAGAGATATTGAAGATGAATCTCACTTTATTTGTATATGTAATTGTTATTCTCAAATAAGAAAAAAATATATCAAACGTTTTACTTTGGTCAATCCATCTGTTTTTAAATTTCATGATTTGCTTACTTTACCTTACTGTCTTTTTTATGCATGTATGTAGTATTTGTAAATGTATGTTAAAGTGCATTTGATTAAACCTTTGTAATATGTTTTAGATTATGTGACATGTTTAACATTGATGTTTATGTATTAAGATGATATACTTATGTATAAGTCTAATAAAATGTCTGTTCTGTTCTGTTCATCAAATCGTTCTAGTACATAGTTATTTATAAAAGCGAATGCATTTGTTGAATTATCAGTAAAATAATTGTCTTAGGTGTTTCCATAGACCATTTTCTATAATTGTAACACTTATTTTCTAACACTTACTGAAAAGCGTTATCTATGTATAACAGTTCTAATTAAATATACACTAAGATGTGTTTAACTTGTTAATTGAGTTTTGCATTTAGTACGAGAGAGCTTTCTCTTTTAGTGTAAATATTACACAGAAAGGTGGTTCCTTCAGAAAAGTCACTCTCAGGTCATTTATTGGAATTAATTGGCAAGTCACGGCCACTCACATTTCCATAAATTACATTTATTTAGGTCCACGGTGTGTAAAAGTACTTATCATTCGTTTCACGATTTTAAGAGAAATTTCGATGGAAGTGCGGCCGTGAACATTATGTTTTCGTTTATTTTCAGTAATTTGCAGTGACCACAAGAAATTTGTATTGGTAACACACGCCAAAAGACTGGTGATTTTTGTCTAATTGCAAAAGATGCAACCTGGCTGGTTCCATGTTACGCTTAAGTCAATGTCGGTATTGTGGCAGAAATCCGACGTGTCTTGTTTATATAAAGGCAGTACTGACAGACCCGTGTTGGTTTATCCTAATGCCTTGGACATTCATTAATTACATTCCGATTTAACCCATTACTTCATATAGACGTCTTGTCACGCCTTTTCACCCAACACCCCCCCCCCTCCGCCATTATTTAATTCAATGTTCAATGAAATTTATTATATAAATATATGTTTTAAGATGTATTGCAATCATCGGCCAATAATTCCTATATTTCTTGGATTCATGAGTCAAATTGATACCATAAGGTTTAAGATCATCATCTGGGATCCATATAGGTTGTGACAAAGGTACCATAATCGCCCTCCCTATCCTCTCCTTTGGATTCTCTATGAACACTATTTTCGCAGCTAGACAATTTTCAGAGTTGTTAAAATCAATGATATTTAATTTCAAATGGACGTTTGCTGAATAACTGTAGGATAATCCTGTCCAGTGAAAGATTGACAGTACATGTTTTTTTTCTAATTTTACTATAATTTTTGTTTCCACTTTTGTTTACGCAGTTATTCAGTGAAAATTAAATATGAACAAGTTGACACCGGCTAATCTATTTGATGCGTCGCAATTACCCCGGCTGTTCCATTGATGACCTCTAAAAGTTGCGATGCTAGCGTTGATGATTTATAGCTACATGTATATTCATAATCCTTTCCTATTAACATGTCAATAACTTGTTGCCTAGCTCATTTATATTAAAAATTAATTATTTCGGTATTAAACAGGTTTTATTTTTTCATTTTACGGAGAAGGTATATAAATTACGATGAAAGAATATTAAATGAGTGTACTATTCATTTGGTGACGTTGTTTTTCTAGTCGCACGCAAGGGTCGTAGGAATACAGCTTTACACTCGATCGTCCAGCCAATCACAGTACCAAACTCCTGAAACATTACCTATTAACTAACGTCGCTCGGGCACTAATTTTCTTTTTTTTTCCTTAGTTTTCTTGGATAGGCTTTATCTAATAACAACTGCTGTACGATTTTATTATTATTATTATTATTATTATTACTATTATTATTATTATTATTATTATTATTATTATTATTATTATTTGTTTATTTATTTTCGTTTTGACAAACCTCGCAATTTCATACCCAAGACATGAAGTTTGTTCAAAATGTTTATACTGCTTTTCCACTTAGTATTTGAGTAACACAATCATTAACAAGAATTATTTCGTAAACCGGTACAATAAAAACATAAAACGAACCGTAATCAATTTATAAATTTTAAAATATTTGATGATAATCCAAAAAGAAAAAAAATCATTTAACTATTCTACACTAAAAATGGTCCTATATCAAATATATTTAAAATAAAAGTTTGTCTTTAGACATTGTTTTGCTGAAAGGAGGAGGGTCAAAATTCGTCAACCCATTCAATTCAAATCTTTCTCCTAGCTTTGGAAACCCGTACTTTCTCAAAATGGCGTCAGATTCTGCTCTCATTTCCGGTGGAATAGTTCTTCTAGAATCAGTGTTCATAAACGTTTGACAAATATCTTGGTTTTTATTTACATCTACTTTAAAAGCTTGTGTCGCTGCATTTACGTACTGGGAGCGAATGTTCAGCTTTTCGAAAAGGACGCTACAACTTCTCCAAGGATTCTTCATCATTTCGTCGTAAAGAACGGAAATTATCGGTATATTCTTTTCTGTACATTCAACGGCACAAGCGACACAAGCCGCCCAGACGCTTGAAAACATTCCTACAGTTGTCAGATCTGTTGGATTTGTTAAAGGTGGATCTTGATCAAGCGTTTGAACAAAGTAGTGATGGAACAGTTTTCTCAAAAAGGGTAAAAATGTCGCGAGAACAGCATTGTCAATAAGAAATTTGGCACATTGGGCCGTTGTGTCGTTGGACATAGTGCCAATGTACGAAGACACGGTACGTAAGCTATTGCGGTAGAGAAATATGTGACGTATGCGGGGAACAAGCTTCTGTATTGTTTTTATCTGTACACAGCAACATGGCCGCGAACGAATTATAAGCATGTTTGTTTTGTCGTCAGGTTTACATAACAGACGAACTGCGCTTGTGAGAACATTATCATATTCTGCGTCGGAAAGGGAACCAGACCGTTTTAAAAAGGCAAGTGTTGTAAGACAGTCTGGTTCCTGGATTATTCTGGTTCCAGGTACTTGCTCAAACATTCTGCTCAACAATGTAGCACCACACCTCCCAGTACTTGAGATCAAAACAACTGGCACCCTTGGGTCTCCAGTATCCTGTGCTAGTTTATGAAATACTCCTAACGGTATTGTTATCATTCTCTTGGCAAACTTAAACTGTGCTGTATAGAAATTTGTTTCCGTACTATTCTGCAAATCCATCTTTTCGTCCATTTCAACAAACACTGCTTCTGTTTTGGTAACACAATACAACGAAACATGTGGCTTTAGTACATAGTTTGGATGTTTGAACGAATTATGAAATGTTATGAAATTTGACTGATCTGCTATGACTAGTGGGTGGATTTTTCGGCGCCATTTTATATCCTGCACATGCGCACCAGACCGGAAGTTAAGGCCACTTTTGGCATCTCGTCTGGTTTTCTCAACCCCGGTTACTGCCCACGTAAATTTCTGGAAGGATAATACTATGAGACGGGCAAGTCTGTACAGGACGAAGGCGAAGACTAGGATGACGTAGTCACGAACTTTTTTCAAAACCCGGCTTATGTTCTCAAGATTGTCGGTGGTAGATTTAGCCTCCATCACTGAAATATAAAAAATGATATAAATCATTGAGTTATGTTGAACCAATACTGACTGGTATGTAACTTAGCAATGGTATTTCTGGACCCTTTATTACATATCTGTAATTGCTTATAGTGAGCATTTTTATAATTTGATTACATATGTACTTTTTTTGCTTATACGTATCGTTCGTTGGTTTAAAGTCGCACGCACCAACACTGTAGTGCTCATAGCGACTTCCAAGTTTTACTGGTGGGGAAGACCTCAGGCCGCCCTCCGTGCATTATTCGAAGCACGAACGGCACCTAACGGTAATAAATAATAATATGAAGATGTGATTTTCATAACAATAGTCATAACGTCAACATCAGTCACAACAAATTTTGATTAGGTTTTAGGAAAATTGATACAGTAAAAGAGTTCCTTAACCGTAACAATCAGGATCAAAACAGATCTCAACTTGTTGTTCTTCCTTAACCATTAGCATAGCATGGTTAACCTATAGATCGTGCAGTTTTCTGTATTCAACACTTTAATGAATGTTAGGCGAACAGGATTATGTGTTGCTCCTGGTTATTTCGAAGCTTATTTAATATCATAGTAACTAAATCTCGAATAGTGGATACTATGCTAAATTATCATGACTCATGCATAAGCTACCTTAGATTTTTTTCTAGTATATTGAATTTTGTTATCTTTACAGAATGTTTAATCCATTACAAGTTTTTCATTTATCATAGTACATAAGAATAAAGAGACAAATAAAACAGAACGTTTCATCACGAATAAAAACATCTTATTTTGTGGCGAGCACACAAAATGCAGTTTGCGTCTGTACGTGGTATATTGACCGCAGTGAAGAGTGCAGTTTTGAAAACAATACTTTATTACGTTTTGTAAAATGCTTAATTATAAGTTAAGCAGATCCCGTCTTATTAAAGATACGTAATAAAGTTTGCACTTTGATTGTCTTGACAATAGCATGTAATAAAATTGATTTATGTGTTGTTCAGCAATTTAAACTTTCTTTTCTTTTCTTTTTGTGGTTTTATACGTTTTTATTTTTTTTTTTTGCTGATTTTGTTTTTATTATGACGTATGTATGCGTACACTTTGATATTGTATGGCAAATATAATTGAGGCTATGCTTATAGGCTGAACGCCTCTAAATGCTTTATGCCTATATTAAACTGTGTTAAATACATTGTACATAAATAACAATTACAGACATTTCAAAACAAGAAAAATCAGAGAGGATTGGAAAACAAGTAAAACAATACATATACCAGTTCCTATCCAGTATAGGTTATATTTTTCAAATAAAGATACAAAAAAAAAATGCTGCAGTTAGATGTAAGCTTGAAGAATAAGAGAAAAATTGATTGTTGAATTATCACTATAGAGAAACTAAGGTAATCTAATGGAGAAATGGCAAAAGAAAAGAAAATGTAGAGAGAAATGGAGTGCTTATATTTATTAAGAGTGCACTACCACACCTTCACTAAACAATACCGATGTATCGTCGATAGTTTTATGTAAATCAATAACCAATACGCATTTGAAAAAAATCGATAATTTTGACTAATTAATTATATGTCTAGAAATTATGAAAGTTCACCCAAAACACATACAGATGCAAAATGGATCTACATGTATTTCATGCAGTGATAACATAAAATGGTCAGAGAAAAATCTCGACACATCCTAATTGTATCAACAGAACATGTATTTTACTGAAATCATTTTAAAAGGTATAAAACTTGATTGTAACTATTTTTCGAAATATCGATGAATCGTCGATATTTGTCATCCGATATAGATAAATTATCGCGAATAAAATCAACTGTTCGTTAGAATTCACGATGCATATTTACTTCAGCCTTCCTCCTTATTTTTTAATCAAAAATATACACGTTTATATAAAGGTGTAAACGTTTGTGAAAATAAAAGAACAAAATCAAACCTTGGGGTTTAGCACGTGTGCGAGTTGCCATGATTTCTATTATTTTAAACGGACTCGCAAACACTTCTCTGGTTTGTGTGTTTTTAATCTTACAAGCTTTAATATTCAATATAATATCCTTTCTTTATACATTCTTTGTGATAATAATTATATCAAACACGAAGTTAACTATAAATGCTGCTTTTATTCCCGTACACATTTGCTTTATCCTTTTCTTACATTTTGTTCAAGTGTTTTTATATAATATTTAAATGAAAACAAATTACGCGGTGATATATAAAGATGAGATTTTAATAATTGAGCCGCGTCATGACAAAACCAACATAATGGGTTTGCGACCAGCGTGGATCCATACCAGCCTGCGCATCCGTGCAGTCTGATCAGGATCCATGCTGATAGCTATCAGTTTCTCTACTTGTTATATGGTTTGTAAGCGAACAGTATGGATCCTGATCAGATCCATGCTGGTCGCAAACCCATTATGTTGGTTTTGTCATGACGCGGCTCATATGTATTTAAATGTCTATCTCCTACCGTTTAGGTATGGCACGTGTAAAAAACGTAACTGAGCGTAAACATTTCAATTTATGTCTCACAAAGGATCTGTAACAAGTCATAAATAAAGTTATGCATTTAAATGAGACAAAAATGAAGTAAATAACGCCAGGAAACTTCCGTTAACAGCGTTTTAGCGGAGTATACTTTGACCCCGTATCTTGTTATGTTTGTTCACATTAAGGTTTTACACCCATGAAAAGATTATATGAATTCGCTGTTCTCGGTATCTAATGCTGACAGTCCGCTAACTTCGTGACTTCCAATATGTAATACAATAGTCGGCAAGATAAATGACTTTACAAATAATTATTATATTAAAATTCGATAAACTGCATTGAGTTTTTTTTTTAATCTTGAATTGAATTTTGCAAACATCATCACTTTCCTTATTTAAATATTCGGCAAGTTCCGTTAGATCCGTACCTTATATTGAATTCGGTAAACTTCGTAACTTCTGTTTCTAAAATCAGAAAAGGCGAAGATAATCTTTAATCACAGCTTATTTCGTTTGTCCATTTCATCAGAGCTTCGTTTAATGTTCACAAATTTCGTAACTTTCACGAAAACGTTTTGTTGTAGTAGATCTACATTGTATGGGTATTTTACGTTAATCCGTCTATATGAACTCTTATTTATGCAACCCATTGCATTTATATAGCTATGTGCCTTTAGGGTATCAATTTATTAATTTAAAAAAGAAATATTTTCATTTTCCCGCATTTATGTTGGAAACTGATTTCGGCTGCACTTAAAATTTTTGAATGGTATAAGACCCGGAAATTGATGAAACATGGTTGATAATGGATGCACACCTGAACAAAGAGAGTAAGATAGGAATGTTTATTCTATCTTGAGTGCAACATTTATGGACATTTATGACTTAATCATTTTAGCGCGTTTTTGTATAATTTAAAACAAGCTCGAGACTACATAATGGTGCTATTATTTTATGTAAATACATGGTTGTAAACCATATCAGGACAAGAACCAATGCTGTTGGTCGAAGGCCTTCACCGATAGGTCCATATTCCCTTCTTGTCATGCAAAGACTTTTTATTTAAGAAAAAATGAAAGTTAAAGGCCCATTAATTATTTTTATTTTTCAAAAAACATTTTTCATGTTCGATGTATTGTTACAGTGTCTATAAGTTACTAGATGGCCATAAACATGAGCGATCGTTTGGTAACATTGCGATTTGGCAATTAATACGTTCAAGGTGATCTATTGTTTTATCACTTTGTTTACATTTTGCTATACATGTACATATATTTTCACACATTTTTAGTACATGTACACGAAACGCTTTTTTGTATCATGTTATGAACATCTCATGTTCTATTTGCATTATAAACATTTTCAATTTTCAATTTTTTTCAATTCAAATATAAACATTTAAAAAAATATCTTAGCTCTTAATTCAGAAGGTAAAACTATTTATTCCTGAGGCTTAATGTGCCTTTAAGCAATGCATATTATATAACGGATTGTGATAAAAGACATAATTGTGTAATTTTCGTGCAGTCTTGTTAAAGTTTATAAATACAGTCTTAGTTTTAGCTATTTTAAGACAAGGCTTGCATCATGGGCCTTTAAATGTTCTCGACGGTTGGTGGAGTTAGGGTTAAAATCACCGTATGACATTTGACAGTGTCGCTGTGACATAAAATCCAACGAACCATATGAAACAAATACGTTTTTGATATAATGTGATGTATTGAAATAAAATAGCATACTATATAGTCTTTTTAGTGTAACGAACCAACTTTTTTCTCATTAAACTGTAGTAAAAACTAATCTGCGTATAGATTTTTTTTTTCAATTCAAATGTCATTGCCCTAGCGACATGATTATAAAATGACCTAAATCTGAGTAGTTTTTTTTCTTACGGAAGCATAGATGGGACATGCGGGAAATTTTTTATACTATTACTACCAATAATAAAAATAATAATAAAAACAATAATAACTAATTCATAAGTTACTTAAACAGCAAATATTTAAAAGTCATTTAGTTATTGTAACTGATACAAACAACGAATTTCTTTACATTTTTACAGGATTACATATGTATAGCATTTGTAAGTCTTAAAAATAAACCGTGACTTGAAAAGTGGGACGCGCTTGAGATTTCTTATATATTTTTGTGTCAAGTTGACGCATTCATTAAGTTTCGATTATTTTTATCGCCAAATAACAGCAATGCATCACAAACGACAACAACAACAACATGGTACTCACCTTGAGATTTCGACCTTATTCTTGTTGCCATTATCAAATTCAGTTCATATCCAATTAAAATGCTTTCAAAAAAATTGCAAGTAAACTACTTCATGATTTCCAATAATAAAAGCGTTCATATTATACATATTATAACTCCTTTAAATTTCTTTTCATATTAACATTCTTTTTCAGTATAAGTTTTGATTGTTTATGATTATTTCATATCATCATTTATGACTTAAATATACACAACATTTGTCCATTTAATACGTATATCTGTCTCTCTTTCACATGTCGTTATAGTACGGCAAACGTAAGTATAACGTAACGTCCTAGCTTCATTATTTCAAATTTAGCGTCACACTGGGTCGCTTTTACCATTATGACTTTCTTTTTTTGCTTTTAGTATAAACGTTTTTGCTGACGTTTTAGAAGAAGCAACTTTGACCCCAAGCTTGTAATTTTCTTGAAATTAGAATAAATGGGAGTGTGATTTTAGGGTTTTTATCTTTTCGAGTGCAGTGTTTACAAACATTTATGGCTTTATATTTAGTGTGACTTTGTTTAACTGATATCGTCAAGTATATACTGACGTATGTAAAACAACGTATTTATCTTTTCCTAAAGTTAATATACTGTCCAGGTCGCTTTCTTTTTTCTTTCGTTCTTTCTTTTAACGTTCTTCTTTTCCCTATAACGTTCTTTCTTTCTTATGTTTTCTTTGACATTTTTCTTACGCGGATGCACGAAAAAAAAAGGCGCACGAAGAATATGCATTGACCCTCAAATATGAACGCATATGGATTTTATCGGATAGACGTTATAAGTGCACATGACTGCATTCTTTTCATCATGAACAATTTTAAGTATGATGTCTTTATAAGGAGGGTAAAAACACAATTTTCGTGCATTTACATCTGCAGAATCACGATGAGCGCCCTGAATCATGAATATCAAAAACAATCATACAAGGACTCTAATAGCCGGTAGAGCATGTATTATTCTCCATTAACGTATACCTGCGTGCGCAGTTTTATAATGATTAATATAATTATACAACTTTTTGACCGAATGTCAACTCATGATAATGAACACATGTGGGGTCATTCGGCGGCGCATCTAGCCAGACCCACTAATATCCCGTAGGCTAGTTTATTTAAAAGAGACAGTTGAACGTCCAAGGCGATATTCGAACCCACAGCGTTAAGAGGCAAATAATTCAAAGTCCGGTACACTGTCCAGTCGACCGATGAAGCCCATGCTTAATGGACTTACAATTGTATCTTTACAACTTTTACATCGATAATGTAACATTGATTGATAGTGATTACATGTACTTGTACTCGATCAAAATTTACAACCTAGATTTCATATCAGAAAAGTACTTGACAACAAACTAAACTTTCTAAAGAGTAAAAATACCGCATCCGACGCCCTACGTGGGCTTGTTTGTTTACCTTGTGTCAAACATAAAATATTAACGTTTGATAGTGTTGACCAAAGTTATTTGAGTTCTGCTTGAAAAATTAATCTTGAAAATGTGATAATGTTTTTATTTATTTCCTTTTTATATAGAGAGATGCGATATGGAATGCGTGATCGGATAAGAAAGAAAATGAATCGTGTAATTTTTTATTTTAGGAACAAAGCACGTGATAGTTATGCTTGGCATTTTTGAAATAATCACCGATATGGCCTAGATCAAATAAGAACGAATTTAAGTTACGGAAACAGCCGAAGCTTGCCGTAATTGGACAAGCTATTTGACACATGTAGACTTACTGAAGTAGGCACGTATAACTAGCGTGCACGTGTATGTACTGTTATGAAAGCAACGAAATGTCACTTTTTGCACATTTAACTTATTGTTTATATTACAACTGACAGCTTTTTGTGTGGTTTGTGTCATTGTTGGCCTTTAATGACGTTTTATATCAAGACTAGCTGTCATTAAAGTAAAAGTAAGATGTTGACACTGAATGGGCTACATTCAGGTTAGGTGAAATCGAGGTTTCCATGCTATACCATAATACTGATAATGATAAGGAGAAACTTAAATCGAAATACTGTATTGAAAGAGTGATATACATTTATAACATTTTTGCATGAGAGATCAACAAACATAACCATATTCAAAATCATGCATCATTTTAAGGAAACGTTTTAAACCAGTCACACTCTTGGTCTGTAAGTGTCGCACGGGTCGATGCACGCTGAAGCATTAAATGATACATTCTCACGTTTTCTAAAAAAAGCAAAAACATGAATATAATATCTAAGTTTTGATACATTTAAATAAGAAAGAAGAAATCAGCAGCCATATTATTTCCGGTTAAAAGTTTTAGTACTTTTAACCATGTTTGTGTTACGACGACAATTTAAAGGTAAATGTAAAACTTGATGCATTTGACCAATAAGTAATGAATAGATAAACCTTTAAAGGTCTATTACTCACAAGAAATAATTTTACTTTTACCCTGGATTAATTATATTTTTAATTCTTATTTTTTTCATTTTGATGTTCTGTTTACAGTCTCTAAAATGTTATTAATCGGCCAAATAAATGAACCATCTTTTGCTTCTGTTGCTTTCTTCCATTAGTACAATTATAGAGATTTAGTATTTTGTTTGGAAGTTAAGATACTAGTGTGGTTACAATTTGCTACCATAATAACAAATAGGTTCAGTCAGTGCTACTTTGTTTGGATAATAAGCATCTTACACGTTCTAAAACCATTTTAGGCGGGAAATTTAATTCGTTTCTGAGGCATAATGTGCCTGTCTATATACATATGTTTGTCTTCACCACAAGTTCGAATACATAACATCATTGTTAAAATGTAAATCTTATGTAATACAGTAAAGGTAACACGTTTTAAATAATTGTACCCCGCCGTTTAGGTAAACGTGAGCTCATCAGCATTATGATAGTGGCTTATATATAAATTATAATGAGATATATGATATAGTATGGAACGCCGGGAAGTTGTGATATATGATATCTGATCACATATAATAAATGTATTATCAGCAGTATTTTATAAACGCGAATGGGTACACAGATTATCACCGAAACTGTTAAAACATATCAAGTTTCAAAGAATATATAATGTATACCAGTCGCCCTATTAAAAAGACTATTCTCAACGAATTTAGAAAACTGATTACGGACTGTCAGAGTGAAATGGTTGCATGTAAGATATACGAAGTTTGTCTGCTATTAGATATAAATTAATAGATCTCACACTATGTAAATGTTACAATCTTTTTGATTATCTAAATAAAAGATATTTTTCTCTTTTAACGGATCCGTTAATCGATATCAGATCAGATCATTTGATCAGTCACTATATTCGAAACATCAAGGGAGGTAACTACAGAACATTTTTGTGACACCAACATTTATATTTCACTGACATAAATATTTCAGAGAAATATACAGAACACTAGCTGGTGTTTTATAAAGCTATTATTCTAAAAGAAAACCTACTTAAACTTCCCTAACACATACCTCGCGACCTTACTGCGTCCTTACTGCGACCTTGCTACGACCCAGGACGCATCACAGTCGCCATGGACGCAGCAGGGACGCAGCGAGGTCGTAGCGAGGAACCCAAGGACGCACAAGGTCGCAGACCGTCGGCGACTATTTTGAACATGCACAAAACAGTCGCAGAAACTCTGCGTTCTTGCTGAGTCCTGGATAGGTCGCCGTGGGATCGCAGTGGAGTCGCCATAGTCGCAGCAGCATCGTAGTAAGGACGCAATAAGAACACAATAGACGTAGTACACTCGTACTAAGGACGCCGTAAGGTCAGACTCAGAATGAAATTTACTGGTAAAAAGTATTGTTTTTTTAGACGTAGCAAAAACGTAGTAGGGTCGTCGTACAGTCGCAGGACAGTCGCCGGACAAACGCAATAGTCGTCGTACAGTCGCCGTAAGGACGCAGAGAACATAGCACAGTCGCAGCTGGGTCGCCGATGATCGCCGTGGGGTTGCCTTGGGGACGCAATACAGTCGCAGTGGAAACGCCATGGACGTAGAAGGGTCGTATTGAGGACATAGAGAAAACGTACTGAACACAAGACTGCAGAGCCCCGGACCGTCTGCGAGAGAAATTTGAAAGAAAACCAACGATTTTCGAAAGAAATATGCTATTTTACTAGTTTTCAGGTCGCAGTAAGGTCGTGGTTTATGTGTGAGGGCACCTTTAAATAATTATGCATTATGTCTGTACATGTATATGAATTAATTAAAACGAGACAAACAGACATAGATAGATAGAGACAGAGAGCCCAGTAGGCAGCCATATTTGGTCTCAACCCGGTACGGAATTAGACCCAGCCCATTGTAGTCTAGAAAGTAGTTCTTTAAAATTATGAAATGGCCCAATTTAAGTCATCTCTAGTTAGATTGTTCATAATTAAAGTGTATTTATTGCATGTGTGTAGTTTTTGTGTGTTATATGATGACTTTAAAAGTTGTTTTTTGTGTATTTTCCAGGAACTTATTTGTTGGCGAAAGGGTTAAAAATGTACTACCCACCACCAGTCAGGAGTTTTCAAAGTGGTAAATTTAAACAGTGTTAAAATAGAATGAAGATTTCTGAAAAAAGTAGATGGCTTACATATTATATTTCGGGTCTCATTTGACTTAGATAGTGTTAATGTTTAAAGTTGAAGACAGTATATAATTCATCAAGAACATTGGAATCCAGAATTAAACCTCAAATTTGACTGATTTACTATAGAACTAATAGTACGAAAATTCACCGGGCCGAGTCCAAGATAAGAAATGTCAAAAATGGGAACTGGTTGATGGATATGGATGAAACTTTGCATCAGTGTTGTGTTTATGAATAGAAGTCAGAAAAATAAAGGATTACTGACAGGTTTGAAAATTTTAAATTTTATTTCAAATTTTAAAATTTGACATTTTAAATTGGGACATATGTTGTTGATGTTATCTCCCCTTCAAATGTAGATGTCTGCTACTGTGTCAGTAAGCAGGGAGAAGGGTACAGAGCTTTTGCATGAAAGATTAACCACATTTTATTGAATTAAAACTGTAAAAATAAATTTAGAATTAAAAAATGAAATTTAAATTTTGTAAAAAGCAGTTTATAAATTGATAAGTTTTATTTTTGCACCCTGTGTTAAGCAATATGCTATAAATCTAGCTTATTTTTAAAAGATTTATATAGAAAATGATAATTTTTAGAGAAATGCATCTTAAATTATGGATAAATTATGCATTGAAGGAATTGGGGAGTGTGTGGTTTCAGATTGGTTACATTGGTAAAAAAAAGTGATTGG